GTTACTAACCCAGCCTGGATTCTTATAGCTGATTGGAGCATTTGGGGACAGGTAGGTGCTCCCTAGGATTTCAGATACTGCAAACTTTTCCTCATCTTTTCCCTTCAGAATGGTTGACCTTGAAGTTGTCAATCCAGTGTTTAACCCACTGAGCCACCATGGCTCCTTTAACAGACTCCAGTATAGCATAAATATTTTTATAGGCACTGGAAAATAAAAAACAATTGTGTGAGTGATGCTATTCTCTTTATTGTGGTGCTATAGAACTGAACCCACAATATTTTCAAGGTTTACCTATGTTCCTTGGATGAATGAAAAATTTCGGTGTGGCCATAGTGGGAAAGAATGGCTTGAGTATGGACACTCTTGGGGAGTGGGGGGACACAATGTGGTCTTACCTTTGCCCCCTCCCCTCTACCTAAAGAAGTCAAGCAAGTGTTACCTGCTTTGTCACTCAGCTTGTTACAACTCAGGTCCAGGGACTGCAGGCTTGTGTGCACCAGCAGGAGTTCAGCTAAGTCCTGGGCTGCCTGATCCCCGAGGCTGTTCCCTGCCAACTGCACCTTCTGGAAGTCTGAGTTTGCCACCAAAGCGGCACAGAGGGCTCGAACTCCTGCCACTCCCAGTTGGTTCTCTGACAGGTCCACCTCTGTGGGGTGGCACCATGCCTCCATCAGGAGGATTAGAAGCCAAGTGTTAGGGGATATGAGGAGGCAGGGACCAGAGATACCACCCTTCTACCTTTCTCCTTCCCTGAAACCTCCCAGGACTGAGACAGCAGCAGGGGATTCGTAGTTGGGTTGCTTTGAGTGGCTTGGATCCCCCCTCCCTGTGTGTCTAGGACCTCTCCCCCATCAGCTGGGTACCCTCAGGTCAGGTTCCCTGACATCTTTCCTGTGTGTCTAGGATCTCATCCTGGCTCTGCTCCATCAACTGGGTCCTCTCAGGTTATAAGGTCAGGTTGCCTGACCTCTGTATTCTAGCATGTCCGTGACCTGTTCTGTCCAGGGGTGCAAACCTGGTGGTGCTATGGTGCTGTGGTGCTGTGGAAGAAAGTGCTGTGTACTTGTCAAGGAATTGTGCCAGGTAGCACCCCACCACAAAAGCCCTTACTGCCCAGTTCCAAGGACTGACCACAATAGCCAGCCACTTGACACCTGCTTCTCATGGTTGGCTTCAGCCAATCCTCAACACAATGCCAAGCATGAAGGGATACCATTCATTAGCTTCCTTTTACAGATAAGAAACAGGCTCAGCAAGGTGAGGAGGCTGTCTGTCTCAGATCACCTGCTTATTCTTCAGAGGCAGAGCCTGCATTTGACTGCAGTACCATTCTTCTGCCCTTCCTGTGCTGCCCCCCCACCTCCAGGTCTAGGGTGCAGCTGCAGTGTACTTCTCCCTCTTCTGGGATCAGTGAATACATGTAGGAGTCCTCCATGTGTCCAAGGTCAGGAGGGTGGTGCACGGGGGTAGCAGGTTAGGAGGGGAGTGGAGTCTACCCAGAGGGTCTAGCTCCTTCCTCCTCCCTGATGACCATCCTTCCCATCCCCCTTTATCACCAGCAGGACCTGGGTAAGAAGACCCTGATGGGTCAGGAGTGGGAAGACTCAGGTCTGACTACTGGTCCCAGGCTTGGCACCTACCACAGATGCAGCTGCTTTTGCTCAGGGCCCCTTGAAGGGTCTCCACCCCAGCTGCACAGAGACCATTGTCCCGAAGGTCCAGCCTCTTGATGTGGGGACTGGAAGCCAATACAGAAACCAGAGTCTGGGCCCCCTAAACCAGACAGACATAGTTGGTTACAAGTTTGGTTCCTACTCTCAAAGCTCAACCTACTTTGTGACAATCAACTGGGATGCCCACCCCATCCCAGTGCCCAAAGCATGTGGCTTCTCTCCTCTTTGGTTCTGCCCAGACCTCTCACCTCGGAGCTTTCCCTGAATCCTCAGTTTGGTGAGGGACCCTGATGCATATGTCTGCCATAGCCACACTCACAAATGTGGGGAATGGATGGACCACACCAGCACAGAAGAAGGTCAGGGGGTGTAGCATGGACATAGTACAGCCCTCAGGGAGGGAATAGGACTGCCATAGCTGCTGCCCCTCACCCCTCTGAGGGTGGTTCCTGGGGTCCCTCCAGAGGGTACCTGGGGCCCCAGGCCACGGTGCCGTAGAATCAGCTCTGGGGTGTTCCCTTGGTGTCGAATGCAAGTGCAGGAATGATGCTCTGGGTCTTCGGAGACTCCAGGTAGAAAGGGTCCCTGACAAGGCCTCTGCACTCACAGGTGCCTAGGAGGAGAGAGGTGATGAATGTGGACCACTCCCTGGGACACAGCCAGCCAGTCCTCGCCAGCCAGCCAGTAGGTTAAGGATACCCATAAACCTACTGCTGTCAAGTGATTCTGACTGATAGCAACCCTATAGGACAAGTAGATCTGTTCCATAGGGATACCAAGGCTGCCAGTCTTCAGGGAAACAGATTGCCTCATCTTTCTTTCTTGAAGCAGCTGGTGAGTTCAAACCGCCAACATTTAGGTTAGCAACACAGTACTTAACCCACTGTGTCACCAGGGATTTTATAATGAATGCATAGATTCTATTATAGTTTCAGCATCCTCCCTCTGGTCTGACACAGCATGCATTTTGGTACCTAACTCTTTTCTGCCATCTACCAGTTGTGTGGCTTTGAGAACAGAGCTTTGGTGTCCTCAGCACAATATAGAGGTATTATCCCCACTGGAATGGAGTCCTGGTAGTGCTGTGGGTTAACGTGCTTGGCAGCTAAAGATGAGGCAGTCTGTCTCTGTAAGATTTACAACCTCAGAAACCTTATGAAGCAGTTCTGACCTGTCCTAGACAGTCACTATGGCAGTGGGTTTGTTGTTGTTAAGTGCTTTTGAGTTGGTTCTGATTCATAGATTCAGAGGAACAGCTGGTGGATTTAACCATCTTGTGGTTCAAATCGACCTTGTGGTCTAGTGCTTATCCTACAGTACCACAACAGGACTCCATTAATTACCCTTAGCCTTTTTTGTGTACTCAGGGTTGCTATGAGTCAGAACTAACTTGACAACACTTAACAATCCAGCTCTGAACCTATTTTAGACACCCCCACCTACACTGTTCCTAAGTGTTTCTGCATTTTAACTTTACTCCTGAGGCCCCAGAAGCATTGGGGAGGGCACTGGGCTGGAGGGATATTGGCTGATGGGTACGCTCCCTTCTGGGCAGAAGCTCTTGCCCACTCTGGCTCCAGCCCGTACCCTCAAGAACTGCGAGAGTACCCTGAAAGAGAGGAACCAAGCCTGATCCACCCTACCCAAGAGGCACCTTCTGTCTCCAGGTCTGAGTCCGAATCTGTGTCCTCATTCTCCTTGGCCTCCAGGACTCCTGTAAGACACTCAGTGTCTACTGTGGCCTCTTCCTCTGGCCCTTTGTACTCTCCAGACATCTTGCAGGGAGCTGCTGCTGTTATATTTTACAAACCCCAGCACTGGGGTCTGGGCTACACCGACCAATAGGGCGTGATGTCCAGCGACCAGGCACTCTCCTGACAGTGCAGGCAACTGATATTGTTGGTTGCTGCAGAAACCGCTGCTGTCTGGCTCTGCCCCTGAGCCCTGCTCACTAGAGCCAATGAGCACACACAAGGAGCCTGTGCTGAGCTGGGCACAGAAACAGCGCTTTTTCCTGCCTCTCTGAGTTACTGGCTATTCCCCTCTTGAGATGAAGAGTGAGTCCTAGCTCTCTGAAGGCATCACACAGGATAGAGTCTTGCCAAGCCAGCTCACCTTTCTCTCTGTAGCCACAGCCTCATCCTTCTTCTGGAACCTTCCATGGCTCCCAGTTCTCTCACTTGCTCTGGCTGCTTTCACGTGGAAGAACCCTCTCCACTTTGTTTCCTTGTTGAACTTCAGAATCTACCAGTATCCACTCAAGGGTGACTTCTTCCTGAATCTTTCCTTGGCCCCTCCTCTCCCAGCATTAGAACACCTGTCATCCTCCCCGCCCCAAGGATTCAGCCTTAGAGCCAGACCTCCAGCAGAAAGGGGGTTAGGGCAAATCTCATGCACTCTGGGTGTTCAGGAGCAGCAGAGGATTCTAGAGTGGATGGGGACTGGGCAGCAGAGGTGGACTTCAGTCTAGGACTGAGGGTGGAGACTGATAGACCAGCTGTGTGGAAGTGTCCCTTTAATAGCTGCTGGACTGCCCTGGCCTGGCTTGGCTGCCTGCTTCCTCTCTGTCTCCTGCAAGGCTGCAGCTGCCTTGCTGACTCATCTGTCGTTGCAGACAGCAGGAGCTAGGAACATGGGCGCCTTAGGGGCCAAGGCTGGCTGGGGGCTTCTGGATTATAAGACGGAGAAGTATGTCATGACCAGGAATTGGCGAGTAGGAGTCCTGCAGAGGCTGCTGCAGCTTGGGGTTGCAATATACGTGGTGGGGTAAGAGATTGACTCCTGATGAAGCAGTTGGAGGGATCAGGCCTGCTGGGTTGGGAGAGTTATGGTTTGGGCTCTCCAGGGCCTGGACTGGAGGGGAGAAAGCTGGGACAGGGTATAGGGCAGACAGGAGGAGGGCATCTCCCTCTGTTATAAGAGCAGACCTTGGTCTTCTGTGCCCTCCTGCCTCCTTCTCAGGGCCTTGCCCTAGCCCTGGTTGGGAATCTGGGCACAAAGGAGCTGCTCCAACCCTAACCCCAGAAAGCATTCTGGCAAGGCAGGAGGCAATCTCTGACATTTGTGAAGGCTGGATCTCCAAGGCTCCTGAGAGAGGGAGAAAGAGCTAGTTCAGCGGAGTCTTTAGGAGGGAAGGAACTGAGTCTAGCACAATCAGGGTGTCAGTGGCAGGGGGAAATCTCAGTGACCAGTGCCATGGCTGGTCCATGTGGCCCAGGATGCTGAGGTAGGTACTGATGCTGGTGAGAAGGATGTTTAAGACAGGAGGGAAGGTGTGTGCCTGATGGGAGGGGTGGATTGTGCCCTGCACACACTGCATTGCCCATTTTCTCCTGTCCAGGTGGGTCCTTTTCTCCAAAAAAGGCTACCAGGAGCAGGATATGGATCCCCAGATCTCTGTCATCACCAAACTTAAAGGGATTTCCGTGATACAGATCAAGGAGCTGGGGAACCGGCTGTGGGACACAGCCGACTTTGTGAAGCCACCTCAGGTAAGCATTCTGTCCTGTTGCCAGGCCCCAGTTGTCGACCACTCTGTGTGCATGTTTGTGCTCTTGAGTTGAGTGTGTCCAAGAAAGGTGTGCCAGAGGAAGAGCCTCACCAGCAGTGGTGCCTGGTCAGGCATGCATAGGAGGTGCCTAGAACAGGGGATGAACAGGAAACTCCAGGAAGCCAGGCTGGAGGAACTGCAGGGGCAAAGCCAGCATCCAGAAGGGACTGCAGTTCCTCCAGGCTTGAGGATGGGACAGAGGGACATGGGGGCTCCAGTGTTGTTGAGTCAGGGCTATAGCCTGACCTCTCCTCTCTCTATAGTGTCCTCCTCCATTCCACACATACCTAGCTGTCGTGAGTCCCCCAAACCCTTTCTGGATGCACATCCACCATGTCCAATGAGGACTTACCCCTCTCTCAACACTGCCCTCTCCTCATCCAGTGAGGGCTGAGAGACATCCACCAGTGCCAAAGCTGGACCTGGGACACAGCTTCCACATCTTCGTGTCCTTCCCTGTGACTGATTACATCTCCTAACACATTTCACTACTGTTGGTGCCAGCCTGCAATGAGGCTGTGGTGTCCTGATGGGCCCTTGGTCTCCCTTTTGGCCCACTCCCACTCTAAATATATCCTTTACAACAGCCAGGCTGGGGCCCTTCCAGCACCTGCTTTAACTCTGTGAAGCCATGACGGCAGCCATCAAGTATGTCCCTCTATGTGCTAACTGCTGCCACCCCCAGCCCCCACTGCTTTCTCCAACCCTCTCCTCCCATGCATGAATTTCCCAGATACACAAAGTTCTCTGTCCAAACAGCCTTGAGTGCCAGCCTGTGAATGTGAGGATGGTCTCACCTTGCCTACTACCCCAGGAAGGGGCCTGGCCCAACTCAGTTCTGGATTCTTAGTGCTTAGAAGGAGGAGCCCTGGTTGTGCCATGAGTTAAGCGTTGGGCTGCTAACTGAAAGGTTACAAGTTCAAACCCATCAGCTGCTAAGTGGGAGAAAGATGAGGCTGTCTGCTCCCCTAAAGATTTACAGCCTTGGAAACCTTAGGGAGCAGTTCTACTCTGTTGTACAGTATCGCTATGAGTCAGAATTGACTGGATGGTAGTGCATTTGATTTTAGAAGAAGGAGGCTTCTGGAGCATTCCAGTTGAGAGAATGAGTGTGAATGAGGGAACTAATTTTGTCCCAAAGGGTGGTCATTGGTGGAGACTCCCTAGGCTCAGAAATAACCTCAAACCCAGCCAGCCTCCTACTCCCATCTCAACCTGCCTCTCTGTAAGCATTTTCCAGGTGGAACAGGATTGGTGAGTATATGGGCCAGGTGGGACACTTCCCACCCCTATCTCTACCCCTGTTTTGAACAGCAGGCAGCATAGCATGCTGGCTTCTGAAGTCTCCAACAGAGCCAACCAAGCAGGGGTTAATGCCTGGAATTGTCTCCTAGGGAGAGAATGTGTTCTTTTTGGTGACCAATTTCCTTGTGACGCCAGCCCAAGTTCAAGGCAGGTGCCCAGAGGTAAGGCTGCTGAGAGTCTCCCCATAGATTCCCGAGCTCTTTGTCTAATTCATGGCTCATTAGTCATATCCCCTTCTCCTTTCTTTCCCAGAGGATCGAGATCTCACTGAGTGCTTACTATACTCCAGACACTGGGCTAAAAGCTCTCAATCTTCTCACAAACGTCCTGCATGGCAGGAATGATACTTATCTCCATTTGAAATGAGAAGACTGAGGCTCAGAGAGGTAGACTCACTTGTCTAAAGCCTCACAGCCTTTGGGTGTAGAGTTAGTGCCTCTAACCTCAGTCCCCAGCTCTGGATTTCTGAGTGCTCACTCCCATGCCTTCAGCTTCTGTGGGGGCTCCGGTCTCCCACCCCTCCTCTCTGGAGCACAAAGCACAGGAGGGCTCTAACAGTACAAGCAAAGATTCTCTGTACACAGCCACTACTAATGTGTCCTGAGACAGCTTCCTTTTTTGTGGGAAGCCATAGCACACACCTTGTGTCAAGTTCAGAGCCATTATGATCCCTGAGTAGGTTTCCATTATTATTATTGCTATTATGGTAAAAAATACAAGGGTAATTAAAAAGTACTGCTATTAGAGTTCCAAGCATACATGCCTGGGTTTGTTCAAATCAAAACACATTTATTCCAAACAAAACATGTTTAGACATGTCTCTGTGAACAAAGGATGGCTGCAGACAAGTTCTCTCAGTAACATATTTGTCTTAGTCTTCTTGTTGTTGTTGTTAAGTGCCATACAGTTGATTCTGACTCATAGTGACCTAGTATAGAGTTTCCAAGGAGCAGCTGGTGGGTTTGAGCTGCCGACCTTGTGGTTCAAACCAGCCATGTAGTCCAGTGCTTTACCCCTCAGTGTCACACCAGGACTCCTTAAGAGTGTCTTAAAAATAAAAAAATAAAAATAAAAAGATACTATTGCAATAGTGGCTTCTGAGGAGATGTTCTTGGACAGTTAAATTCAAGGCAGGGAAGTCAGCTTAAAAGAGTATGGAGACTTTTGGGAATTTCAAAGAGGTAATCTTGTAGATTTTCTTGAAGGTCACAGGACAATCATAGGAACTTATTGTGATGTTTTAAGAAAATGGAAAACTGCATTGGTGAGAAAGAGGCCAGAAAAGTTGAGCTGTGGGGTTTTTCTTCTATTGTGACAGTGGACCTGCGCATTTTTTTTTTTATGCTGAGGAACTTTTTTCCAGTAAGACAATGCATTGGCGCATTCTTCAAGGATAGCAAGGGCTGTCCTGTGAGATTTCATTGGGAAACCTTTCCTCACCCACCCTCCAGCCCTGGTCTTTCCCTGTTAGGCTTCTTTTTGTTCCCCAAACTCAAAGAGCATTTCAAAGGAACACAATCTGAGTCCCTTGAGGATGCCCAAGCTACCATTCTGACACGGTTTATATCAAAGACCTCAGAACTTTTTAGGGAAGGGTTAGAAAGATGGAAACACTACCTCCAGAAGTATAGAGAGTTAGATGGAGGATATGTCAAGAAACAAAGGATTCATATTTTGATCTTTTTGTTTATTAAAGGGTTGTGTGATTTTGTAGCAATACTTAAAAAAAAACAACACCAACTATTGTGAATTGAGTGAAGGTTTACTGAGCAGATCTTCAGTTTTACACTCAACAAATCATATGCTTTGCTTCATTACAGTGTATTTTTGCAGTCCCCTCCATGTACCATCAAGGAGCACAGTGAGTTACAAGTTGGGCTGCTAACCTCAAGGTGATCAGCTGCACCATGGGAGAAAGATGAAACTTTCTGCTCCCATAAAGATTTACAACCTCAGAAACCCTATACAGTGTTGCTATGAGTTGGAACCAACTCCAAGGCACACAACCATCATCACTATCACCATGTACCATCAGCTAACAATATTTACCTCTATTCATTTTAGCTCTAACATTCTTCCCTGTGTCTCCCGCTACCTTCATTGTTCCTCTGCCAGCCTCCCTCTTGTATATGGCCTGCCCCATCACCCATGTTAACATGACTCTACCCTTTAGCCCGTGAATAATTTTCTCTCCCTCTCATATCCCTGTAACCATCATAGAATGTTTCTTTTAGCAAGAAAATTTTTTTTTTAAAAGCTTTGTGAATTGAGTTTACAAGGGAGAGCATTGGTTTTGCACTCAACCTATTGTATTTTGTTTCATTGCAATGCTTACAATCCCCTCCATGCATCATCGGTTAACAGTATTTGCTTCTATTTGCAAGAAAACCTTTTATTAACTTTTTGCAACAATGGTCTCATACAGTATTTGTCCTTTTGTGATTGACAACTTTCATTCAGCATAATGTCCTCCAGGTTCATCCATGTTGTGATGTGTTTTATAGATTCATCATTATTTTTCAACATTGCATAGTATTCCATTTTATGTATGTGCCAAAGTTTGTTTAACCATTCTTCTGTTGATTGGCATTTAGGCTGTCTCCATCTTTTTGCTATTGCCAGTAGTGCTACAATGAACACTGTTGTTGTTGTTAAATGCTGTCGAGTTGATTCTGACCCATAGTGACATTGTACAGGGTTTCCAAGAGCAGCTGGTGAGCTTGAACCACCGACCTTGCAGTTCAAATGACTTTGCAATCTGACATATTAGCCCACACTGCCACACCAGGGCTCATATATATCTATTGGTGTCATGGCTCACATTCCTTGAGGATATATTCCATGTAGAGGGGTTACTATGTAATACAAGATTTCTAACTTTTTGAGGAAGCATCATACTATTTTCCATAGTGCTAGCACCATTATACAATCCCATGAGCCGTATAAGAGGGTCCCAGTCTCTCTACACCCTCATCAGAATTTGCTGTTTTCTGTTTTTTGAACTTTACTACTAATCCTGGGGTAAGAAAGTATCGCTTCATTGTTTTGATTTGCATCTCTTTAATGACTAATGATCATGAACATTTCTTCCAATGTTTGTTGGCTGCCTGAATGTCTTCTTTGGTGAAGTGTCTGTTCATGTCTTTTGTCCATTTTAAAATTGGTTTGATTTCTTGTTGAAGTATTATATAAATTTTTAGAGAGTAATTAAGAATTGGGCTGCTAACTTCAAGGTCAGCAGTTTGAAACTACCAGCAGTTCCACGGGAAAAAGATGAGGCGGTCTACCGCTCCCGTAAAGATTTACAACCTTGGAAACCCTTTGTAGGGTCACTATGAGTCGAAACCGACTTCATGGCACTTAACAACAACAAGTCCTTTATCTTATATGTCATGCCAAACATTTTTTTCCCAGTCTGTGGGTTCTCTCTTTACTTTTTTGGTGAAATTCTTTGATGTATATAGGTGTTTAATTTTTAGGAGGTCCCAGTCATCTGTTTTGTCTTCTGTGGGTTTTCAGTTATGTTTGATAGTATATTTATGTAGGAATAGTATTTTCTTTACTAGAGTCCTGGTGTGGTGCTGTAGAGTAAGCACTGGATGGCTAACTGAAAGGTCAGAGGTTCAAACCCACCAGCTGCTCCTTGGAAACCATATACAGGCTGCTATGAGTCAGAACTGACTTGACAGCATTTAACAACAACTTTTTAATTTACCCTCATATCTGTAAGGCCTTGGGTGACACAAGCAATTTGTGCTCTGCTATTATATAAAGGTTGGCTGTTCAAACCCAACTAGTGCCACTGTGGAAGAAAGGCCTGGCAATTTACTTCCATAAAGAGTAATGTCCCTATGGAGCATTTCCACAAACACAGAGGGTTGCTGTGAGTTGGAAGCTGCAAGTGGAAGATAGAGGAGGAGGAGGAGAGATGAAAAAGAAGACGATGTTAAGTGCCATTGAGTCAATTCTGACTCATAGCAACCCTGTATAGGGTTTCCGAGGAGCTGCTCATGGGTTTGAACTGCCAACCTGGTGGTTAACAGTCCAGTGCTTATCCTACAGTGCCATACCAGCACTCATATATATAACAAAACATTAGCCATTTTAATCTTTTTTTTTTTTTTTTTAGTGTTTTATTGCGAATTATATGATAGTTTACATGGGAGAACATTCATTCTATCTTATATTGTATCATTGCCATGGTTACAATCCCCTCCATGCATCATCAACCAACCAAAGTGTATACCCTGCAAGCCTGCTCCCTATACTATCTCCCCCCCACCCCCCTCCAGTCTTCAGCACACATCGCTCTCCCTCTCTGGATCTAAAGTCCCCAGCTGCTCCATCGCTCCACGTCATCATCTCTGCCTTAATCTTTTTTTATGTGTACAATTTAGTGACATTTGTTTTATTCAGTTTGTTAGGAAACTATCTCTAGTTATTTTTCACACCTGTGGTCAAGTCAGATGTCCTCGTCTTCTTGCATACAGACATGCAGATTCTCTCCCCTGCAATCTCACTTTATTCCCTTGCCTGGGGATGTCCCCATGGATCTGTGTCTGTTATGGACCACACACTCTTTCCCCAGATATAAATGTAAGCATACATAACATAATGCATACATAAATGAAACTATACATAACAAAGTGTACATTATCTCAACAATTCCCATATATACAATTCAGTAACATGGATTATATTCTTTAAACTGTGTAACCATGCTCATTTTTTTTTTCCCAAATCGTTCACCAACTCAATGTCCCTAAACAAAACTTCCCCTTTCTCCTTCCTTCCACCTGTGTTGCTATTATTGTTAAGTGCCATGGAGTCAATTCTAATTCACAACGACCCTGTATAGGGTTTCCAAGGTTGCAAATCTTCAAGAGAGCAGAAAACCCCATCTTTCTTCCTCAGAGGGGCTGGTGGCCTAGAACAGCCAACCTTGTGGTCAGCAGTCCAATGCTTATCCTACAGAGTCACCGTGCTCCCAACTCCTCATATTTGGTGGTCAGTTTGCAGGCTGTTATAAACGTCTGAGCTTTCTGGAATCCAGCCTACATATCTAGGTACTATTGTTGTTGTGATGTGCCATGGAGTCTAGGTACTAACCCCTCTCAAATCTCCATGGGTGCCCCAGCAGGCCCATCACAGTTGTGAGGCCAAGAAACTGCCAGGGCTGGGTGAGAATTCACCAGCTCTGAAGCCTAACTTCCTGACAAGAACCAGAGTTGCTGGCTATTCTCTTAGTAGCTACCCCATCCTTCCAACCTAGGTGCTTCACCCACTGATCATTGCTCTGGGCCAGTCCTGGTATGCTGTACCCAGGAATTCCTGCACAGACAGGTGGGGCAGAGGCTGAACTGGGAGACTCGGGCACCAGGAGGGTTTCCTGAAAAGCCAAGCCTGAATCTACCAAGATGATAGAAGTTAGTGAGCTGGTGAGCTTGGAGAGGGAGGTTCTGGCAGAGGAGGTTGTAGAGTAAAAGCCTCAAGTGAGATATGACGCCTCTATCTCAGTGGTACCAACCATGGAGTGGGGTTGGGGTATAGATCTGGGATGGGCAGGGAGGCCAAAGTGTCAGGACCCATGAGCCCCATGGGGACTCCAGTTAATCACAGGAAGAGCAGGAAGCCTCTACTGGGTTCAGAGGAGAGGGGCACAGTCTTCTAGACATTGGGGTGGACACTCAGGATGCCTGGTGGTGGAAGTAGAGAGGGCAGAGGCAGGGGTGGTCACTGAGAGCATGGTGGCCTTGCCCAGTGCAGAGGAGGGGCTGACAAGACAAGCATGGGGATAGGAAACAGAGCAAGGAGCTCCAAGTGTCATTTGTCCCACTGTGTACAGACAAGGTCCCAGGGCAATAGCCCATCTAATTAATGTCAGTTAGTGAGTCCAACTCTCCAGACCCCTCCTGGCTGACCCCCAAAATGTGGCTTTGTGCAGGCATTCATATTCTACAGAGAGCACACAGGTTCCCAAGCAAACAGGTGTGAAAGGTCTTCCTTACCTACCCAGATGACTTCTCGGACTCCAGGGTTCAGGCTCATTGTTCATCATGCCTGGTGCCTTCCCTTGCTGTACACTAAACATCACAAGCTCACTGTCCTCTGGACCCCTTCACCTTCCCATATGTCAGTCTAAGTTGGACCAAACAAGTTGGGTCTCAATTCATCACTCCTCCTCCCCCTGAGTGGTGCAAATGGTTAACGCAATAAACTGCTAACTGAAAGGTCAGAGAAAGGTCAGAGGCACTTCGGAAGAAAGGCTTGGTGTTCCACTTACAAAAAAATCAGCCATTGAAAATCCCCTGGATAAGGGGGTGTTCAGCACATTAGCACTAAAAAGAGGTAAATAGTAACGGACAGCAAAAGTAAATACCATTACATTCACACTATTATCAGAAATAAGCACTAATTTGTGGGAAAAATATGAGTTTTTTTTTCTCTCACAAATATCTCAGCCTTAGAAACCTTAACAGAGTTGCTATGAGTTGGAACCAGCTGTACAGCACTTATAATAATCTGCAAGTGAAGTGCTGGACTGCTAACCACAAGCTTAGCTAAAGCTGCTCCTTGGGAGAAAGATTAGGCTTTCTGCTCCTGTAAAGATTCGTTGCTTCAGAAATTATTGAGTCAGAACCAACTCTACGGCACTTAATAACAACAATCTGCAAGTGGATACATAGGCAAATAGGCAAGATGGACAGGTATGATTAGGCAAAAGGGACCACACTCATGCCCACATATAGGTTTGTTGTTGTTAAGTGCTGTTGAGTTTGTTCTGACTCACAGTGACCCTATATAGGGTTTCCAAGGAGCAGCTGGTTTAAACTGCTGACCTTGCAGTTTGAAATCCAGTGCTGATCCTACAATGCACAGGTTTGGCAGACACAATTTTTACAAATGTACTTGTATGCTATATAAATACAGGGAGGATTCAAAAAGTTCATGGAAAAATGGAATTTTAAAAAAATGGAAAATTTCCACAAATGTTTTGAAGACCTTTTGTATATTTCATATTTATAATGAGTGCAAACAGGGGCCAAAGATATATAAACCTTGTAACCCAACACCGAGAATAAAAAGAAAAGAAAAAGAACACAGTTCTACTCTGACACACATGGGGCTGCCATAAGCTGAAGTTGACTCAACAGCAAATGGCTGAGTCTTTCAGTTTGAATCCCACTGGAGATGCAGAAAGGAGCCCTGGTGGTGCTGTGAGCTAAGCATTGAGCTGCTAACCTCAAAGTCAGCAGTTCAAACATACCAATCACTCCTCCGGAGAAACATGAGACTGCTTGGAGCAGTTCTACTCTGTTCTATGGGGTTGCTATGAGTCAGAATGGACTCACTTGGCAGTGGGTTTAGATGCACCCTGGTGGCACAGGGGTTGAGCATTCAGCTACTAACTGAAAGGTCAGTGGTTTGAACTCACCAGCGACTCTGGAAGAAAGAAGAGGCAAGTCAGCTTCTGTAAAGATTTAGCCTCAGAAACCCTAAGGAACAGTTCTACTCTGTTCTTTTGGGTGGCTATGAGTCAGAATTGACTGTACCGTTTTGATTTTTTAGGGACGGGAACTTCTCAGGGGCAAGGCATCTTGCTGTGCCTTTGGAAAGCAGCATTTGCAAAGCGCTCCCCCCCTTCCCCCCTTCTTTCCTTTGCACCTTCCAGTTTTCCCAGGGGTGGGGAGAGATGTGGCCACCCTCCAGGGTTCTTAGTGATTCTGCTTTCTCTACCATCCTAGCACCCTTCTGTTCCGCTCGCTGTCTGCTGGGCCAATAAGGACTGCCCAGAAGGAGAGAAGGGGACACACAGCCACGGTACTGGGGACTCTGTTTTTCCAATTTCCAGTGCCCTTTCCCCTGGGTGGGAGGACCAGCCTAGCCAAGCTGTTCTTCCCACTATCTCTTACCCACTCCCTGGGGAGTTGAGAGCCTGGAGTTTATCTTATGTTTCCAAGGCATAAAAACAGGTCAATGTGTGGTGTTCAACGGGACCCACAGCACCTGTGAGATCCAAGGTTGGTGTCCTGTGGAGAGTGGCACTGTGTCAGGGTAAGTCTCCCCTACTGTCTTCTCCAGCACAGAGCCCCCAAGGACCACAGGCACCTGCCCTCACCCCCTCTTCCTTCCACCCTCAGGAAGCCCCTTCTGGCCCAGGCAGAAAACTTCACGCTCTTCATCAAAAACACAGTCACTTTCAGCAAGTTCAACTTCTCCAAGTAAGCCCAGGTGATCCTGGCTGGCCTGACCCTTCTTATCCAGTGCTCTTATGTGTCTGACTCTTACCTCCATGACCCCCTCAGATCCAATGCCCTGGAGACCTGGGATGCTACCTATTTCAAGCACTGCCGCTATGATCCACACACCAGCCCCTACTGCCCCGTGTTCCGAATTGGGGACCTCGTGCAGTCTGCGGGTGGAAACTTTGAGGACCTGGCATTGCTGGTGGGCCTGTGGGCAGGGGCCCTAGGGGGTGTAGGCAGAGGGTCCTAGACCTGCTGCCAGTGGGGCAGTGATGTGATATGTCCAGGGTGGTGCTGTGGGCATTCGTGTCCAATGGGACTGCAACTTGGATGGCCAGAGCTCCGACTGCCAACCCTACTACTACTTTCAGCTACAGGAGAGGAACTACAACTTCAGGTATGTCCTTGCTCAGCATCCCCTTATGCCCCTCCCGCTGTGGGCTGACCATATCCTACCTGCCTTCTGGATGCTTCCTGCTGTGTGTGTGAAGGTGGGCTTCAAGTCTCAGGACGTGGCTGCAGGGGCTGGAGGGAGCGTCCCCAGCCCCACCTCCTCTAACACAGGCTTCATGGGGCTCCATCCTAAGTCCTTTGTCACCCCCTACGTGGACCTCTGCATCTGCCTCCCTCAATCCATCTTGTTTCCAGTTTCTCTTCTCCATCCCACAAACTTTCCCTTCAAATTTTATCTAAAAAATCTCAAAGCAAACTCTTGAAAAGTTCACAGGTTTGTGCCGCAAACACCCATCATCTGGATTCACCAGTTTCTCGCTATTTACCTCACGTGTTTTCTCCCTTCCAAGAGCAAGAGATGGGTCCATTTAGCTAGATTTCAAAGAGAAGCGTTTGGAAGGAAGTGGCAGACACCCAGACACTCACCCTTTCCAACACCGTCCCATATCCCTTGAGAACAAAGACCGTCTTCACATGATGAGGGTGCTATTGTCACACCGCTGCTGTAACAGAAATAGCACAGTGGAATGTCTGTAAATAACAGAGATTCATTTTCTTACAGTTCAGGAGGCTAGATCATGAGCTCTGGGGTGGGGAAAGATCCTTGTCTCTTTCAGTTTCTGTAGCCCCGGTATTCTTGGAGTCCTTAGTGGTGGTGGTGGTATGCCATCAAGTTGGTATTGACTCATAGTGATTCGGTGTAAGGTGGGGTCTTTGTCGACCCTTAAATGACATCTGAGTTTCTTCATTTGTGCTTCTTTGTCTCTCTTTGGAGCCCTGGTATCACAGTGCATCAAGCACTAGGCAGTTCAAACTCATCAGAGAAAGATGAGGCTGTCTGTTTCTGTAAAGACGGATAGCCTTGGAAACCCTAGAGAGCAGTTCTGCAGGGTTGCTATGAGTAGGAACACTCTAGAAGGCACTGGGTGGTGTTGCTCCATGTTTCTGATGCCCCTTCAAACTCAGAAGTGATTTTAGGAACCACCCTATACTGAGAAGAGCTCATTCACATAATAAAGAAAACCCCATTTCCAATCAGGGTTACATCCACAGGCAGAGGGGATAGGATTCCAATTCAGTCATATTTGGGGAGGAATATAACTCAATCTGTAAGTCCCCCTGGGGTCCTCCTTGCATGTGCTAGCACTCCCATACACTATGGATCAGACCAGAAATGAGGGTCTCCACACTTGTTGACCATGCCTGGTATGGCTTCACTAGCATGTGGGGTTGGCTGTCCTCCCAGCCCTGCTCCCACATCATTGTGCTCTCCATGACCTTACATGCCCTGCCTAGATGCCTTCCTTTCCTCTGCAAAAAATACTGGCACATCCTTCCCGGTCCAGCCTCTATGCTTTCCCTCCTGGAAGCCTCCCTGGCCTCCACACAGTTTGCCAGCATCTTGTAGAGCGACCCCTCTGTGCTCACTCCCTCTCCGTAGGCAGAGAGCTCCTAAGAGGCAGGCCCTGCTCTGGCTTTGTAAGCATGAGACCTGGGGGGAGATGGGAGGTTGACCAACCTAGGAGTGGGCAGTACTGGCCCTCTGAGTGCACTCTTTTGCCCCAGGACAGCCACTCACTGGTGGGAGGCCCCTGGTGTGGAGGCCCGGAGCCTACTCAAGGTCTACGGGATCCGCTTTGACATCCTGGTCACTGGGCAGGTAGGGACAGACCAGAGGGGTGAGGGGCAGGTGGATGTGACTGGAGAAGTACACAAGACTCAACTGGAGCTCTCTTAGGCAGGGAAGTTTGGGCTCATTCCCACATTCATCACGCTGGGCACTGGAGTGGCGTGGCTGGGTGTGGTGAGTCTGACCAGCCTGGACTTCCTCTGGCTACATCGACTGCCTGTCTGTTGACTCTCAGGGTGAGGATTGGGGAGTGGCTGCCGGGTGGGGGTGGGGGTGGGGTCAGGCTATGATTCTGTCTTCCACAGGTAACTTTTCTCTGTGACCTGATGCTATTGTATGTGGATGGAGAAGCCCATTTCTACAGGAGGACCAAGTATGAGGAGGTGAGCTGCAGCTGGCTGGGCTGCCGAGTTCTGTTGCAGTTTGGGAGGACACTGGACCCAACCCCAACCTGGTGTCGTCCCCTGCAGGCCAAGGCTCCGAAGATGAAGGCCAACTCTGTGTGCAGTGAGCTGATTTTCATGCCCACCTTACCTGGCCCAGCAGCAGCCCCCACTGCGGAGAGTTCAATACTGAGGTGGCCTTCTCTTGGTGATAGCACTGATCAGTCTCTTTCGATGGCTGCTTCCTGAGGCCTGCTTGGGTCAGGGTTCTCAGAGCTTGGGGGCTGTGCCTTGGAGACCTCATGGATGAAGCCTCAGCAGGACCAAGACAGGGTAAACCCACTCTCCAACTCCCATGCTGACTCTCTGTCCCCAACTTCAACCTGAGCTTCCATGAAGGTGAAGAATCAGCTTTTTGTATGGAGATTAATCCACAGCCTCCTAGATCCCCCCAGCCATGGCCCCCATATCAGCTGTTGGCATGGCCCCTCCCACAGATGATTGGGGAATTCATCCCTGTCTGGCTCCCTGCTTTCCACCCCTTGCCTGCACCTCTCCGTGCAGAGAATGCTTAGAAGGGCTCTGAGCCAAAGCCCCAGGGTAGGTTTCTCTGATCCTCCAGCACTGGATCTCATCCATGGAATTAAGGGGCAGGTGGTCTGCCCACACAAGATCCTAAGCAGAGTATGGACACCACTCTTGGTCACATCTGCTCAGTTATAAGCACCAGCCATGTTCCATTGATAGGTTCAGGCTATGGAAGGTTAGGTGGAGAAGTTGAGGTGTTAGTCAATAGGTCTGTTGGGACCTTCTATGTGCCTCCTCAAGAAGCCCTGGTGGTGCAGTGGATTAAGTGTTGGGCTGCTAAAACAAAAGGTCAGTGATTCAAACCCACCAGCTTGGCCTCTGCGGAAGATGAGGCAGTCTGCTCTGTAAAGATTTAGTCTTGGAAACACTATGGGAGTTATACTCTGTCCTACAGGGTCACTGAATCAACTCAATGGCAGTGGTTTTAGTTTGTTTTTGATATATTTCCTTGGTGAGAACCACCCCTGCCAGCCAAACCCCCCCCCCCCCCCCCCCCCCCCCCAGCAAAAACCTGCCCACCAGGCTTCCTGGAAACCCTGGGTATGGGCAGCCAATACATCTGCAATTCACTGTCCACCCAAGTCATGCCTAGAAGCCTGCCCACCCTGCCAAGAGCCCTTGACCTTCAACAGAGAGGACTGACTGGGAGCAATTAACTGGAGTGATTGTTATTACTGTTCAGTGTCCTCAAGTCGGTTCTGACTCACAGCGACCCTGTACAGGGTTCTGAGAGTAGCTGGTGGTTTTGAACCACTGACATTGCTTTTCAAACCGACCTTGTGGTCCATTGCTTATCCTACAGCGCCATACCAGGAATCCAGCTGGAATGATTGTTAAATGCTGTTGAGTTGGTTCTTACTCATAGAGACCCTGTTTCTGAGGAGCAGCTAGTAGGTTTGAAGCTCCAATCTTGTGGTGCACAGTCCAGTGCTTACCCCATCCTCTAGAGAATTTCCCCAGCCTCCCGGGGTATAAGTTTAGGACCAGCAAGTTATGGTGCTGCAGAGGAGTAAGCTGTAGAAGCCAAGTCATCCTTTGGTCCCAAGGCAGTGGGCATGGGTGAAAGCATGCCCTCTGCAGGGAGGTGAGGAGCTACTTTCTCCTAGACTCCTGGTGATCTAAGGTGTGCTGGATGCTTGCGTATGGAACAGCAGAGATCAAGTCAGGGGGCTCAGCAGGTGGGCTCAGGCAGAGCTAGAATCTAATACCAGATGCCTCAACCAAGCCCTTGAGTTCTCATTGTCTTAGTCTGTGGAAGGGTATTGCTGGGGAGGCAGACTCAGAAGAACTACACTAGGAGAGCGTGGTCATGAGGCCAGGTGATTAAAATGCCCTGGACCTAGTTTTGTGGGATGGTTTGCCTGGAGAGACTCAAGAAGTAAAGTCTGCCAAAGCCACCAGCTTCTTGTGTCATCTTTACAGAGCAGGAACGGGAAGGAGGAGGTAACTGGAACAGATGTAGCACAGCTGTAGGGGAACCAGTGTGTGAGTGAGGGTGCAGAAACGACCTGGACTTCCCTGGGATATTCCTGAACTGGGGACCCATAGTTACTAGATGAGCTGGAAGGCAAGTGGGACAAGTCCAGCCTCATGTGCACTCCTACACATATATACCTTTGCCTCCAGGCTCCCTCACCTCCCCAGGATTGGTGGGTGGAGTGAGCTGTGCAGGAAATGTTGCACATCCAGGCAGCCAAGTTGGCCATGTAACATGTGCATGTGGCTGTGAGGGTGTCTGACCATGTGTGTTTTGGTGACTGTGTCCCTGAGCAGGTCTTGAGTACACACTGTGCTGCCTGAGATCCCTGAAAAACCATAGGAATCTTAGCTTTCCAGGGGCCCTCTTTGGAGTCTAGCCTCTGCTTCCCATACCCGCCTCCAGGAAACGTGGGAGAGCCTAGAGGTGGAGGCCACCCATCCTTGTCATGGGCCCTGTTCCTGATGCATGTGTGTGATTTCTCGCTGAGCTCGGCAGACCATCCCTGAACCAGCTGTTGCCGTGGCCTGGGGACAATCTCCTGGTTCCCCCGGGGTTGGTGAGGACTCTGATGCCGCAAAGAACACCACAGTGGACAAGGCAGCAGGTCAATGTGGATGGCTGAGCAGTTATTATTGGGGATGCCCTGGGACTGCAGGACTCTTTGGCCTGTCCACCTCCAACCTGCCCAGGAAGCTGGAGTTGGTCATAACCAAAATGTGAGGGCAAAGCGTCCACAAGAGCTGTGGTCATGGCCCCACTCCCTGAGACCCAAAGTTCAGCAGCAGGGCTAAAGTCCTAGGGTCCTGAGGATCCCCATCCCTAGGAGGTAAAGGGCAGCAGGCAAGGCATGGGCAGCACCGGCTGGCCTCATGGGGTAGCTGGCTGTTCCAAGCAGTTGGGCTCCGGGGCAGGCACCTGGCCAGAAGGCTGCACAACCTGCACTATCCCCTCCAAGCTGCCGTTGGGAAATACTACATAGCGCGTGGCAGTCAACCCCAGTGGCTCCCGAAGGTTCTCCTTGCTGTGCCAGATGCCATAGCCAAAATACACAGCAAGTCCTGCAAGAGTGCAACAAGCCTCAGGGGAAGTTCCCCACTCCACTCACCCTCCTTCTATAGTCATGCTGGGTCCTGACCCGAGTCCCGCCAAGTCCTACTCACCAACCAGCAGCCAGATACAGAAGCGCAGCCAGGTCAGGTAGCTCAGTTTCAACATGAGACAGACATTGAGGAGGATGCTCAGGGCCGGAGTCAGGGGCACCAGAGGGATCTATGTAGGGGGGAACAAGGGTGGGGCTTGGCAGAGCCGAAATCTGCCAGCGCAGGGCCTGACTTCACAGGAAACCATAGTCTTTCAGCACCACTGGAGAGGCCTGGTGGTGTAATGGGCTACACATTGAGTTGCTCTTATTAAAGGTCAGTGGTTCTAACTCATCAGCTGCTCCGTGGGAGAGAGATGAGGCAGTCTGCTTCCTAAAGATTTACAACCTCAGAAATCGTAGGGAACAGTTCTTACCTGGAAGGTGTCCTGCCGGTGCTGTTGCTGGTGGGCTCCCAGGATAAGGAGACTAAGCAGAAACGTTCCACCGCTGAGCAGGAGCAACAGGATGTAGGCCCAGTGTGGGAGGTGCAGGCTAGAGTCCCCAAAGACCAGCACGCAGCCCAGGATGATGGCCGAGGCCACCAGGACACCAATCGTCCAGGTCACAGAGGCTCCTGAGCAGCACCCACCCAGGAAACCCAGGTAGGGTTTCAGGGCTGGCCGCAGCTGCCCAGGTTCAGGGTTTGAGGCCTGCATATTGCTCACCAGCTGGAGGTGGTCTGAGAAGGAGCTGTGCTCCTTGGTCAGGGGTCCTGGGCTGGATGGACCTGGGGAGCTGGGGGGAGAGGTCTTCTGGAAACGCAGCACGATGATGCTGGTGGCCACAAAAGTGTAGGCCAGCAGCGTGCCAATGGATAAGAACTGGACTAGTGCCTCTAAGTCCAGCAGGAGTGCCAGGAGGGCCATGAGGACCCCGAATACCAGTATTCCCACCATAGGCACCTGTGTCCGGGGGTGCACACGGGCAAACACCTGGAAGAAGAGCCCATCGGAGGCCATGGCGTAGACGATGCGTGGCAGGGAGAAGAGGTTGCTGAGCAGGACAGTGTTCATGGCTGCGGCAGAGGGCAGGGGCTGGTCAGCATGGTGGGCAGGCCTATCAGGGGCTTCGGGGGACGTGTCAGGGCACAGGCAGCCCCTTGAGAACATGGGAATGAGTACCCCCCCACCCAGGAATGGGATACCCCAGTTTAGGTCCCATCGGGGGATCTGACATGACAAAAACAGGTCCCTTGACTCAGAAAGTATAATTGGGAGGTATCAGAGTGTGAGGGGGTTCCTCTCAATAGGCCTGAGCAGTTCTCTTATAGTTACAGTCTCCCTGGCCCAATATACAGCTGGTAAAACTGAGACTCAGAGGAAGAAGACTCCTCTTCCCCACCTTCCTCCCTGACCCTCTGCCTATTCCCACCTTGCCCAGTCAGATCCCTCACCGCAGATGGAGCCAACAGCCACGATGATGCCAGCCCAACTGTAGCCACGCCGAAAGAAGGCATCGGCGAGTGCTGAGTCTGGGTCGAGGCTATGCCAGGGTACCATGAGGGTGAGCACAGTGGAGACCAGGATGTAGGCACCAGCTGCCAGGCCGAGAGAGATGGCGATGGCCATGGGCACTGCTCGTTGCGGGTTCCGGGCCTCCTCGCTGGAGGCAGCAATGACGTCAAAGCCTACGAAGGCATAGAAGCAGGTGGCAGTGCCAGCCATGATGCCCGAGAAGCCGAAGGGTGCAAAACTGCCCTCCTCAGTGCTCCAGTTGTGCGGGCGGGCCAGAATGAAGCCAAGGATGATGATGAAGAGGATGACGGCCAGGCTGATGGCTGAGAATGTGTGGTTGAGCCAGGAGGAGACTCGGGCTCCACAGGAGACGAAAGCAGATGCCAGGAGCAGTACACCTGCAGCCAGGAAGTCTGGGTACCGGGCCAGCAAGGGTACCTCCCAGACACCCAGGTTGGTCTCTGTGAAGTTGCGGATTTGATGGCTGAAAATGGCATCCAGGTAGCTGCTCCAGGCACGGGCCACAGCAGCACCACCGATGAGATACTCAAGAAGCACGTTCCAGCCGATGAGGAAGGCCCATAGCTCGCCCATGGACACGTAGGTGAACAGGTAGGCAGAGCCTGTGCGGGGCACACGGGCACCGAACTCCGCATAGCACAGGGCTGCTAGCAGAGAGGCCACTGCCGCCACCGCGAAGGACACCAGTACGGCGGGTCCAGCCATCTCTTTAGCCACGGTGCCAGTGAGTACATAGAGGCCTGACCCCACCATGCCACCCACACCCAACAGGGTCAGGTCCAGCAGGGACAGGCAACGTCGCAGCGACGTGTCCATGGTGGACTCCTCCAGTGGTTTTAGCCGATTCAGCTTCCTGCAGAAGCTCGCCAGGCTGGCGGCATTCGGCAGTCCTCGAGCCATAGTGGGCAGCAAAGAAGGGCACAGAGACAGCTGGGACCTGCCTGGGAAAGAGGGGAATGACAGGCTGCTCGGCCGGTCCTGGCTCGCCTTCACTTCTTCCTGGACTGCCCATTCTAGCCCTCTCCCTGTCCCCAACGTGAACACCTAGGACCCGGCATTGTGGACTTGCTGGCAGGAAGGTCCAGTCAGTTCCCCTGGGCAAGGGAAGGTGACTTGGAGGAACAGGGACCTGGAAGGTGCGGAGCAGAAGACAGCTCCAGGGAGCGCAAGCTGGGAATCATTCCTGTTGTGGTCTCTAGGGCTGGGTGGGAACCCGAGGCTACGCCGGACCTGGGTCAGATCGCTAGGACCCGGAACACGAACGGTTCAGCGGCCAGGGCGTGGCCCAACCCGCCACCCGGTCTCAAACAGCTATGATGGCTCTCTCACCTCCACCCGGGGGTGGGGGGTGATGGTGGTGGATCAGCTAAGCAGCCAGGAAACTGGGGCGCCTGGGCCTTACAGCCGAAGCTCCGTGCACCTCTCCGCGCCACGAAAGGTTGCCGCCTCCAGAGTCAGCCCCACTGAGCTCCTGTCCCCAGGCACTAGAGCTTTCGTCCTCAACACCTGCTGCGACCCACCTGCTGCCGCCGTCGTTACCTCTGTCGTTGCCGCTTCAGCTCCGCTAGCCCCGCCCGCTGGAGCTGACTATGCGCAGGACCTGCCCCCGCCCAACGCCCGAATCTCGTACGCCGTGCGGCGCCCCTTCCCCAGGACCAGGATCCCACAAGTCGCATGGCGCCCACACCCCAGAATCCAGATCTCGCACGCTGCGTAGCGTCTACACCCCGAGCGCGGATCCATCCCCGCCCCGCGCTCTTATTCTAGGGTCCAGATCCAGCACGCTGCTCCGCGCCCACACACCGGTGCCAGTATCCACCCCACCACCACCACCGCCCCCCGCCCCCGTCCCACGCTCGAATCCCTCACGTTTATCTAATTTCTCTGTGCCCCCACCCTCACCCCAGGGCCCAGGTCCTGCATGCCACCTCATGCACTCCCACTCCCCACCCCCGCCAGGGTCCAGATTCAGCCTGCCGCCTCCTTTCCGTGCTCCAATCCCGCACACAGCCCTGTGACCCCAACCTTGTGCCTGAATTGCACGTGTGGCTCTGCCTCCACCGTCATACACGCACCCCCCCCCCCCGCACTCAGATAGCCCAGCTACACCTACCTCACAAGCTCAAGACCAGAGTTCACCAGTTCCTGTGGTAGTTGTATTACTTATCCTGTGGTGAGAAAGTTGGCGCAGATAAATGACTTGTCCAAGGTCATCAGAGTGGCCTGGGGGAGGAGCTAAGACTCAGAATAGGGACTTTGGGGCCCACCCACCTTCTATTGCTGCAGATCTCCTATCTTGAACCCTCAGCCTAACACATATACCCCACCCACCGGGGTGCTATCCAGGAACACACACACACACACACACACACACACACACACACATTGCCTGATGTGTAGCCTGGGGGCTGGGGCAGCCCTGGGCCATCTGTACCTCTCCCATCAGGTCACTCCTTGGGAAATGAGCAAACCATCTGCCAAGTGCCACCAACTATAGACAATGTCCCTGAAAGGGAGGCAAGCAACCTCGGGGGACAGCCTGCTTGAGACCTCCAGCATAAGCCCACTCAGAACCTGATAATGTCAATGGACTCCCACTCATGGGTTTCAGTGGTCACCAGTGAGAGCCCCAGGGGACTAAGCTCACACTGCCAGTCACCACATCATAAACTCCATCTCCCATCTCATGAGTCATCACTACTCCCACTCTCAGGTTTATTTATTCTTGGAGCTGAAGAGTCTTCATTATTCTACTGTTCCCACTTCTTCGAATGCAAAGAAAACGTGTTAACGGCAAAAGGACAGACATTAATTGAACCCAACAAACCAAACAGGCACCTACAATCTTGCTGCTTCAACAGCTAGTAATGGAACGGATGTTCTAGACAAGAAGGTGCCTCTTGGAATGCTGTGTGTCTTAGGAATGGAGGCCTTGGGCCCTTTTGACATTATCTTGAGGACCAGATAACATCTTGCCCACCACTCCCCTGTATTGCCTAAAAATTCCTCCTAAAAATGTCAGGTAAATCTAGAAAAATGTAATTCAAAATGCAACAAAAAGAGACAGATTTTCCTTGTGGGCAACTCTACAAGGTTTCACTAGCACTGACTTCTAGTTTATTTAGTGAAGGGCTTCCATCACACCCTCTTTCATAGACACCAACATACAGTGAGATCCCAAAGACTTGAAAACAGAAATCTGTACACCAGAATGCTCCTTTGAAACCAGAATGGGCAAGACTTAGTCTCTCATATTTCAGACGTATTATCAGGAGGGACCTGGAGAAGGACATCATGCTTGGTAAAGTGGAGGGTCAATGAAAAAGAGGAAGATCCCCAATGAGATGGACTGGCACAGTGGCAGCAACAATGGGTTCAAGTGTAACAACAATTGTGAAGATGGCACAGAACTGAGCCGTGTCTTGTTCTGTTGTGTACAAGGTCACTATGAATGGGAACTGACTCAATGACACCTAACAATAACATACAATGGACATTTTAAGTCAAGCATGGTTGGCGTTGTGATTTGTTTTTTTTTATTATTCTGATAAAAAGATATGTAACAAAGCATTTGTAAATTCAACAACTTTTACATGTCACAGTTCAGTGGTGTTGATTAGGTTCACTATGTTGAGCAACCATGAGTATTACCCATTTCCAGATCCTTCTACCACCATCAACAGAAGTACAGAGCCTCCTAAATAATGACTCGCTCCCACCTCTGGTAACCAAAAAACAAACCAATTGCCATGGAGTTGATTCCAGATCACTATGTTAGAGTGGAACTATACTCTGTTGTTGTTTTAAACTTTTCATTGTGAATTGGATGAACGTTTACAGAGCAGATCAGTTTTCCATTCAATAATTCATACACATTTTGTTTCATGTCATTGATTGCAGTCTCCAGGATGTTGTTGTTGTTGTTATGTGCCGTCGAGTCGGTTCCGACCCTTAGCGACCCTGTACAGGGTTTCCGAGGGTGTAAATCTTTACAGGAGTAGAAAGCCTCATCTTTCTCCTGCGGAGCAGCTGGTAGTTTCGAACCGCTGACCTTAAGGTTCGCAGCCCGATTCGTAACCACTACGCTACCAGAGCTCCAGGATACAACATTATTTATTCCACTGCCTCCCTATGTTTCCATTTATCCTTCTTTACTAACCCTTCTGAACTTGGTGCTTGGGTAAATGCTGATGGTTGGTTATTTTTATGAGTTTTTATCTTTTTCTCTTAACATTTAAAAATAACAAGTTGTTTATATGAAATTATGGCAGTTGTACAAACTGTCAGTGCAAACAAAGAAAAAAAAAAGAAAACATCTGAAAGTGTAACAAAATACCCTCAACGAATTTATCTTTATTATTCTAGCCTTGCTGTTGTTAGGTGCCATGAGTTGGTTCCGACTCATAGTGACCTTATGCACAACAGAACAAAATACTGTCCAGTCCTACACAATCCTCACAATTGTTGTTACACTCGAGCCCATCTTTTGTTATTTATTTCCCTAGTAAAGATATAGTGCTCTATTTCAGGTTTAAAATATAAAACTGTGTAGACATTGAGGGTGGAATTGTCATACTTGAATTAAAAAAAATTAATGTATGATAATATTCTTTCCCTCTTCTTTCCAGCTTCTCCTGGGAAATTCCTGGAGAATTTTTGGTTAGACTGGCAGTCATATATAAGATAACAACAATCTAGGGCAGATTTTCAAGACTATTATAGCTAATATTTAGGACTCTTGGTGTGCTTCTGTAGTACAAACACTGGACTGCTAACCACAAGGTCATCAGTTCAAACCCACCAGCTGTTGCTTGGAAACCCCATACAGGGTTACTATAAGTTGGAACCCACCCAATGGCACTTAACAGCAACAACAACATACATTTTTAAAAATGCATAGCTATCAAGTCGATCCCAACTCATATAGATTATAAATCTTTACAGAAGCAGACAGTCTTTCTAGTGAGGATCATCTTTCTACTGAAAATCATCAGCTGGTATGTTTAGCCTAACTCAGAACAACACGAGGTGCTTAATCCTGTTGTTGTTGTTAAGTGTTGTCAGATGGTTCGGACTCTAGCGACCCTGTATAGAGTTTCCAAGGAGCAGCTGATGGGTTTGAAGTGCCAAGCTTTCAGGCAGCAGTCCAGTGCTTATAATACAGCACCACACCAGGTCTCCCAATATGTAGTTTAGTTCTAAAAATTGAGACTATTTCCCCAAAACACTTGCCTAGAAGAAATAATACATATGAATTCTGCAGTAGGTTTAACAAATGAAAGGAAAACACAGATTGTTTTAGTAGTCGAAGCTGGGAGACTAAAAAACTGCTTCAGGTTCTCAGTGGTAATGGAAATAATATCTGCCTGTCCTGAGTCTCAAAATTGCCTAGAAGCTACGGTAAAAGGAGTTAAAGTAAAAGATTCTCTGAAAAAACTTAAATGATCTATATTTAGAAAGGATTGCGTAAACATACTGCTTGTGTCTGGATGATTGTAATCAGTCCTGAAGAAACTCATTCTGATTGGGGGGAATGGCGATAGCAGGACCAGTCTTGGGCTAAGTGGGAGGTTCTGTGGTACTACATTAGACTTTCATACGGTTTTCAATGAATGATTTAAAAACAAAAAATTTTTATTGTGAATTGAGTGGAAGTTTACCGAGCAGACCATCAATTTTGCATCCAACAAATTATACTCTTTATTTCATCTGAATTGTGGATCCCCTCAATGTAACATCCCTTGTCCCACTTCCTTCCTATGGGTCTTGTTTCAATTTCTCTGTCTTTTCTCACTCTTCTGAGTTTTGTCCCTAGGTAAATGCTACCATTTTGGTCTCAAATGTTTGACCATTCTATGGTGAGCATACTTTACTAGTGTTGTTGTTCCCCCTATATACCT